CTCACATGCTGTGCAGATGCTCCGTCCATTATCCACCCTCATGGGAGCCGCGCCCCTCCCCACCTGCTGCCTTTGGCTGCACAGGAGGGAGCTCAGTGTGGGCACCACAGATGGGCAGTGAGGGTGAGAGGAGGGGTGGCCACAGGGACCAAAAGGACCTCGGGTGCCTTGGGGCACTAGCAGGCCCACTGGGTCACTTGACTGGCTCCCAGGGGGCAGTCCACACCAGGGAGAGTGGGGATGGCGTCCCGAGGCCCAGGGAAAGGAAAAGGGCGGAGTTGCAGGTGCTGTTCCGTGGTGGGAGGCAGCAGAAAAGTAAGGCTTGTCTGAGTTTCTGTATTTCTAGCCTCTCCCCTCATGTTATGGGGAGGAAGGTCCATCTAATGGGGTTTGCCAGATTCCAGGTGAGGGCAGTTCCAGGGAGCTGCTGGCCAGGTACCAACAGGACTATGCTCATTAAGACATTTAATATTCCCCGGGCGAAGCTCCTGGGAATTTCCCAGGAGTCTCTGGGTAACCAGATAGCCTCTGCCAGCCCCAGGATGAGGAAACAGATCCCCAGAAGTGGCCAGGATGGGCATGGCATGGAACTGGCATTACGGTGCTGCTTGCTGAGCTGGGCCAGAGCGCAGGGAGACCTGTCCCGCTGGACACTGGATGCTGTGGCCAGAAAGCAGAAACACAGGGGCCAGGAGCCTCCTGCCCTGCCGGCTTCCTATCAGCTTTTCTTGCAAAGGCTTTCAAGACTTGTCTATGAAGGAGAGGAATTCTGGGGCTCACATAAGTAAAATCAGCATGGGGTGGGGTGGGGCCCTGTGGACAGTGTCCATGACATCTGGTTGACTCCAGTCTCCCAAAGTGCAGGTTGCATGTCTGCTGAGGGCCCAGCTGTGTTGTTTCCATCTCCTGCCTGATCTCACATTAAATGCGCACTCCTTTCCCCCACGGCCCCTGCCCAGCCCTCGACCCTCCTGACGCCCAGCGCCTCTGTGCCACCTCAGGGCAGCTCTCAGGCCTCCTGCTTCCTGTGCCCCTACTGCTCCCCCATGGGTGAAGGGCCTGGAAAGCTTTTCCCACCTCCAGCAATGCCCAGAGGTGTGAAGAGGAGGCGGTGGGTCAGGGCAGGCTGTGGGCGAGGACTCCAGGTGCCAGAGTGCACTCTCACCCTGGTGGTCTCCCTGGTGTGGTGGGGATGAGTGTGATCGCCCATAAACTCTTAGGCCAGGCTGAGCAGAAAGGTGGCTGGGGCCAATCCAGGGGCACCACAGAGGCCGGCCAGGCAGAAAGCCGGCACCACTGCCACCCCATCCCCAGGGCTCAGGCTATTGCTCCATGAGCAGCCCCGGGGCTGGATGGGAGAAGAATCAGGAGCAAGAGCACCCGCAGGTGACCTGCAGGCCGTGGGGGTGGCCTCACCATCTACTGGCTACAGTGGCAGGTGGGGTGGGGTGGAGGGAATGACACAGGGCAGGAGGAGGAGCAGCTGTCCATTTGCCCCATCACCCTCCCCTGCTCTGCCCTCTGTGCAGGGAGCTACATCTCTCCAGCCCCCTTACCAGGCTTCTAGGTAGGCTTGGCTGTTGCCAGGCACCTGCAGGAGACAGGAGGCCAGAGAGCAGAGCAGTGAGGACTGCATGCCCCTTGCTCTGCTGGCCATGGCACCTCTTCAGCTGCCACATCCCCACTCTCCGTCCCTGCTGGACAACCCCAGCCCCTGGAATCCCAGCACTCCCTTCCTCCTATAGTCCTTCCAGCCTCAGGTATGGCAGTGTGTCCAACTGTGGCTAATCTCTGGGTTGCCTCAGTGTCCCCTCGGATCGGCTCTTCCACCACCTGTTACCAACCCCTAACGTTCTCCAAAGAGTCCAGAGCAACACCTCCCCTGTGTAACATGTGGATGGACCCCCTGAATCAGTAGGTCTAGGGGGTCTGCATTTCTAACAAATTCCAGGGGATGCTGATGTGGCTCTTCTGGGCAGTGGGTCCCCAAGATGAACAAAATAGACCTGTCTGTGGTCCAGGGAGGGAGACAGACATAGTCAGATGACAATCACTATAAATGACACCACTGAGTGCTCCAAAGGATGGACAGAGGATGTGAACATCCCGGGTCCTCAGGACGGCTTCCTTGACGAGGTGGTGTTTGAGCTGAGACCCAGAGCAGGGGGCAGGGGAAGGTTTCAGGAGCAGTGTGCGAGCAGAGGCTTGGTGACCAGGGGCACTGTGTGAATTCGGTGGTCCAAGAGGAGGCTGGTCAGGTTGCCAGGCCCCAAGTGAGCCGGGTTCAGTGGCTGCTGCTCCCCCAGGAAGAGAGGCTGCACCTGAACTCAACCTCCCCGTGCCATCAGGCCCCTTCCCCCACGGCCTCACTGCAGCTTCCAGTAAGGTCTCCAGGTGCCGGCAGCTGGTGCTCTCAGACACCTCCCGCTCCGCGGGCAACCACACCCAGACTGCCTGGCGCCCGAGCTTGGCCGCTCGTCCACAAACAAGGCTGTTCTGGAGCATGCATTAAAAAGCGGCGGTAGCAAGTGGCAGGTCCGTGCCAGCACACAGCCCCACGGTGTGACCACAGCCTGGCCCATGCACACAGACACCCAGAGGGGGACAGTGCACCTCCTCCTGCTGATCTTTGGTATTTTCCTTTCCCCGATAAAACCCACATTTTACCCCATGTAACAGGAGGCGTCGCAGCATCCCCCCTCACCCCCTCCCCACAGTGGGGCTCTGCCTCTGAATTAACAGCAACAGAACCATCCGTGGGTTAAGGATGGGGTCACCTCACTGGAATTTGTGTTTCCAAATCCTGCAGGAAGAATGGGCTGTAAGGGAAGGAGCAATAAAAAAGCGGGAAGAGGGGATGTGTGTGGGTACAGCAGCTTCGTTATCAGCACTGAGGTCGGCCTGCGCTCAGGGCCGAGCACTGGGAGAGGAGATGCCCAGGCCGGGGTGGGAACTGTAAGGACTTTGAAGACCCCTTCCCTGCTTGTCCCTGTGCTGAGATTTTTGAATGGCACAAGCCCGTGATCTGTCGATGGGGCAGCCAGGACAGGGCAGCAAGAGGAGGGGCTCCACCTTGGGCCAAGCTTGGGGGAGACCTAGGGTCGGAGTGGGGAACAGAAGTGCTCAGGGGAGGGAACACAGCTGGAAACCTGGGAGGACAGCGGCTGCCTGGTCTGAGGAGAGCAATGGAAGGCCAGGGGTTCCCACCTGGAACCGGTGGCTGACAGTTGGGACAGCTTGGGCAGTGGTGACCGTAGGGGACAGTTGGAAGCTGAGGCTGCCCACACCGCCCTCCTGGCTCAGCTGGACAGTAGGCTCCAGGCAGGGGAGCTGCCAGGAGGGTGTGGGGTGCAGAAGTGGGAGTACAAGGGTTATGGGGGGCAATCCCCAGAGGAGTAGGAGCAGGAAGGGGAGGTCTTGGGCCCCGAGGAGATCTCAGTGTCACCCATGAGGGCTGCTGTGTGTCAGCCATGGAGAAAGAGCACTGTTAAGCGAGCCCTGGGCTTCCAAAGGCCCTGGGTGTGGGAGATTTAATTCCTTGGCCTTTCTTTGAGGTGTTGCTTTTTTTTTTTTTACTTGGATTAGTGTATTATCCTTTGACTCCTTAAATGCTGATCCATTCATTTTCTTTGAATCACTCTTGCAAAGTTCATCCGAGCAGAAACCTCTGTAGGAACCAGTTGTGGGTAGGGGAACTTGAACTGTAGCTGACAAATTGTTGAAGGCCTGAGGTGTTGCTGTGACGCCTGCGGTGCCCTGGGCATGTAGACTCCCTCCTGGTCTGTCCACCTGACAAACACTTCTCCCTCGGGCACCCCTGCCAGCAACACCACTTACATCCTCTTAATTACCAGGTCCGAAATTGGAGTCGATATTGAATGGGACATTGTGACGGCTTGGAATTGCTCCCAAGGGAGAGGAGTTGTTAAACCCCATACTCGAAAGCGAGCAGCTGGCACGTCCACATCGCGCTTAAGGACAGAAAGCAAAGCTGGACCCTCAGCCTCACCCACCACCCAGGGGGAGCCTCTGTGAGCCAAAGAGCTGAAGTGGGGGGCCTCAGGAGGAACTGCGTCTGAGCCAGAAGTACCACCTCCCTCTAGGAGGAAGGATGTTCCCACCACCAGCCCAAATCTGGGGCTCTAGAACTGTTTGTAAAGATCGGGGGACCCCTGGGAGAGTGGCTGGCACATCTCTCCACTCCAGGGCTCCCCACATCTCGGCAGTCTGCCTCAGGACATGGTTCCTGAGTAGGCTGTCGTCTGGAAGCCCAGCAGACCCCTGCCCAGCCAGCCTCCTGAGAACTCAGGCCTGCGGCAGGCCGAGCCCACGCCTGTCCTCTCCACCTCTGGGGCTTACTGCGTCCAGCTCCGGCTGCCTCTTCCACGAGGGGGTCAGGTGCAGGCCTGGGGGTCCCCTGCACCTCTGACATTCAGCCATCTTGGGCCAGGCCTGCAGGCCCGAGTGAATTCCCAAGTTCTGCCAGGTTTATAGGGTTTTATGTTTATTTGTTTGTTTTTTAATCTTTATATTTCAATAAAAAAGTTTGTCACCAAAAAACAACAAACAAAAAAAGGCCACTCTTTTAGTTTCTTCATCTGTGAGGTGAGCAGCCTGGGTTCCGTGCAGGGCGTTGTGAAGATGCCAGGCTCGCATGGGCCGGGCAAGGCAGGCTGCACAGGTCACCCACCACGGGCTGCCCAGGGGTTCCTGGAGTGGCAGAGGCTGTTGTTGACAAGCTCAGGGAGGAGAGAGCAGAGCCTGCTCAGAGGAGAGGACACAGCCTTCTGCCCACTGTCCGGGAACCGAGCCCGGCAATCTCCCCTGCAGCACGCACACGCTCACACACGCACACACTCTCACATGTACACACGCATTCACCCACCATCACCAGACTTTGTGGACAGACACCCAGGCTCCAGCGGCACGGAGCGACTGAGCATGTGCAGCTCCCAGCACGGCTATTTAAAGGTGGGGATGGACCCTGTGGCTGAGTTGCCATAACTGTGACACTCACTCCTTTGTGCTTCACTGGGCACAGAACAGCCACCAGCCCCAAGAGCAGCTCTAGGCTGGGTCTGCTCTGGACACAGGAGCAGAGAGTGGGCAGACCAAGCAGGGGTGCTGAGCATGGAGGAAAGTTGGGAGGCTGAGCACAGCTAAAGTCCAGAGCTCCCCATGCCCTCGACTTCTCTGTGGACTCCAGCAAGGACCATCCCATCTCAGGATGAATCTGCCTCTGGGGCCAAGACTCCTGCCAGGCCCGGCCCAGGAACCCAGCTGCAAGGCCACCCCAGCGCCACCCAGCAGGTGGGACAGCTCCCAGAGCAGCATCTCCAGCCTGGACCAGCTTCTGCCCACAAGCCCCACGGTAAGCCTGGGTGCGCATGAGCATGCACAGAGCCTTCCCTACCCCCACCTGGCCCTCTCCTGGGCACACACAGGGTCTTTGATAGGGAAACAGAAAAGGTCTGAGCTTTGCTGTGGGACCCAGGCACATCACAGAACTTCTCTGAGCCTGCCCTACACAAAGGGGCCCGTAGAGGAGACTGCAGGCAATATCCTCCCCTGTGGAGAGCACTCAAGGAACAGAAAGGCCAGACCCGATGACAAGGGACTGAAGTGGCCAACCTGTCCTCGGCTGCCTCCACTCCTTCCAGAGGTTGGCCGGATTCCCATGCAGCCCTCCCAAGAGGAAGGCATACCCTGGGTCTCTGGATATGTCCAGTCCACAGTGAAGCGTCAGGTGCCTGCTGCTGCCCCCATCATCCCAACCAGGGCCCAGGGCCACACCCCATCAACCCCACTGTTACCTGGGGAGGGCCGAGGGCACCTTCAGGACCCTGGGATGCTGGCCTAGGTTCTGAATAGAACAGAAAGGGTCCGGGAGCCATAGGAGCCCCTGGGACAGGACAGAGATCGCACACACACCCTTCCCTAGGAAGGGGCTGGAGTGGGGAAGGGGTCTTTAAATCCCTTTGTACTGACCTCATAGGATCATGATCTTGCAGTGACCCTGGGAGGCCTAGGCTATCTTTCTAAAGGAGTTGTTTCCCTCTCTCTCATGCCAGGCATCAAGGACAGCCCTATCCAGTTATGCTATAGGGGGTACAACCTCTCTTTTGAAACTTGGCAGAGGGTGGGACTCCTGAGGAGAGGGCCTCCACGCGACTCCACACGCCCGCATTTAAAGAGGCCCTGAACACCACTGACTGTCTTGGGAAGTTGGAACAGGGTCTATACAGTGGGGAGGGATGCACCCAGGAGTTGGATCTGCCTTCTCTCCCAGGAAAGGTGGGGTCACCCAAGCTACTTCCTTGCTTGCCAGGCTCCTGTCTGTCTGTCCTACTGCCTCCAGCAGGTGATCTGAGCCCACTGCAAGAAGCCTTCCAGCTCTGTGCCATAGTATAGGAGCTTGCACTGGACTTCAGGAAAACCTGCATTTCTATTCTTGCTCAACCACTTGCTCACTGTGTGGGTGAGCAGCTTTGCCACTCTGAGCCTGTTTCCCCACCTGCCCTACCGAGAACCCTAACTTCCTTTCTCAGGGCTATTTGAAGGTGATGGGGATAATGTGATTCTCTCATTTCTCTGTCTCTCCACAGGCAGCTGCGGCTGAGGCTGCTGCCTGGGTCCCCTTCCCCACCGTTGATGTTCCAGACCACGCCCACTACACCCTAGGCACAGTGATCCTGCTGGTGGGGCTCACGGGGATGCTGGGCAATCTGACAGTCATCTATACCTTCTGCAGGTGCTGGTGGGTGGGGCTAGCCCAGGGCACTGAGGGTGGCCACCTGTGCAGAGACAGGGCAGAACATGAGGGCAGGAACATTGGTACTCTGGACAGGGCACTGTTGAGGCTAGGTGGAGGCCAGGTCCCAGCCCCAGATGGTCTCAGGCCCAGGCCTCAAGCCCAGGGGAGGGGCCAAAAAATCTTCCAGGGTAACTTGAATGGTACATGGCAGTTGGGCCCCAGGCACACCCTCTGTGAGGGGCTGGTGTCCCTAGGACATTTGGGTCTCTGCCCATTTTGCCCTGCTCTCAGTCACCTCTGCCATCACCTGCCCCAGGGGGCTTCGTCTCTCTGCCTTGAAGAGCAGCCCTGGGCACCAGGATCCTGAGTCCTCAAGTCCCTCAAATGCCCCCGACAACCACTCCCTCCCCTCCTGCTCCACTGGCAGGCTGAATGGCTGAGACAAGCAGGTGGAGAAGTGACTTAGGGTCACGCAGCCCCCTGGCTCTACCACCTGCTGGTGGAAGGATCCGGTGCTAGTCAGTTATCCTCTTTGAGCTCACTTTCCTTGTTACTTCATGGTGTCAGTGTGGGGATTGAGTTCGTGCATGTGCATTGCCAGGCAAATGAATGTATGAATTCTGGCTGTGCCACCTACTGAGTTTTGCAATCTGAAGCAAGTCACATCCCAAGTGGGGGCCTCAACGTTCTTATCTGGAAAGTGGGAACAATGATGGCTTGCTTGGGAGTAGATGCAAAGATGGATGATGACAGGAGATGAGGTCTGTGAAAGTGCCTGGTGGGCAGCTCACAGTCACCGGCTCCTCTGCCCTTTGCCACCCCGGAGGGTGAGGACTGCAGGGACAGCTGCGTCCAGCAGGACCCAGGCCAGACTCAACGCTGGCAGGAGGGAGAGATGGTGTCTGCGGAGGAGGGAGGCATGAGAAGCTCAGGGAAGGCGTAGTGAGGGCACGCAGGAGGAGGAGCTGGAGCAGCCTCTAGGGAGACCTTGGGCTCATGGGACTCAAGGAAAGGAGAGGTTTGTCCAAGAGAGAGTGAGTCACGCGGAGGGAATCCAGAAGGCAAGAAAAGGAAATGGATGCAACCCAAGCAAGCACCAGCCTCGGCCAGGCCAGGCAGCACAGGTTTTAGAGAGACATCGCTCTCCACTTGGTCATAAGGGAACCACCCTGGAGGTTCCCACTCAGCCAGCGCTGCCAGGCTCAGCAGCTGACAGCTGGCATAGCTTGGGCCTGTCTGCGTGCACACACGTGTGTGTGTATGTGCATGTGTGGCACGTGTGTGCACATGCGTGGTTGAGGGCTGAGGCAAGCCCTCCCACGGCTCCAGAGAGGTTAGGAACACCTCCTGACAGCCTCCAACCCTCCCAGGAGCAGAGGCCTCCGGACACCTGCCAACATGTTCATTATCAACCTCGCAGTCAGCGACTTCCTCATGTCCATCACCCAGGCCCCGGTCTTCTTCGCCAGCAGCCTCTATAAGCATTGGCTCTTTGGGGAGACAGGTAAACAGTTGGGGCTTCCTTTTGCTGGAGGGAGGAGGAGGGTTTTGACCGGGGAAGTTTTGGAGGGTGGCCCAGATGAGGTGCAGAGAGTGGGTAGCGGCCATGCATGCAGCAAGTGAGCAGAAGGGGAACACTCGGGTTCCCATCCTGAGGCCTCTGCCAGGCTCTGCCAGATGTGACAAGGAGACAGGGGACTCAGGCCTGATGTTCCTGAGAGGTGGGACAGGAGCTGAGAGCACTCCATACCCAGACCCTCTCTCCCGCAGCCTGTGAGTTCTATGCCTTCTGTGGAGCTCTCTTTGGCATCTCCTCCATGATTACCCTGATGGCCATCGCTCTGGACCGCTACCTGGTGATCACACGCCCGCTGGCCACCTTCGGTGTGGTGTCCAAGAGGCGGGCAGCGTTTGTCCTGCTGGGCGTCTGGCTCTATGCACTGGCCTGGAGCCTGCCACCCTTCTTTGGCTGGAGTAAGTGGGCTGGTGGAATTGAGGTGGGGCAGATAGGCTGGGAGGGGCATGTTCAAGGGGAGGTAGGTGGACTTGGGTCAGCCACCTGGCAGGGGGTGCCCAGGGACCACCTGAGCTCAAGTCAGATAAACATTCAGGGAGAATGACTAGAGGCAGGGGAAACTGAGGCTGCCCCGTCAGAGACCAGAATATCACCTGGGAAGCCCATCCCCCAATACAGAGGGATCCTGGGTGGGGTCAAGTGACAGGTGCAGCTGACGCTGAGTTTTCAGTGAGTCAGACTAGGCAGGGGCTGGGGCACGAGGCCTCAGCTGGGAGAGGGGGAGCAGCAAGGCACCAGTCCTCTGGGGCAGGACCAGGCCACTGGCTGAAGCTCGGGGAGCATGACCCCCGGGCTCCGGCAAATCTTTGCTCCAATCTAGCAGGAATGGGCAGCAGTGGGCTTTGCCAGCTGTCTACTGAGCTGGTTCCCCACCAGATCCAGCGTGAAGAGCTCCCTCCACAACTCCCAGCTTCTCTCACTGCATTGCACTGGGCAGCTGGGGCCGGGGCCAGGCCTATGTTTGGGGACCCCAAAAGCTGCATACAAAGCCCCTGCCAGACAAAGAGCCCTAGTCAGTGCTGCGCCAAAGGCTGAGCGCCTGCCCCTGGCTCCCAGGTGCCTACGTGCCCGAGGGGCTGCTGACATCCTGCTCCTGGGACTACATGAGCTTCACACCTTCCGTCCGAGCCTACACCATGCTTCTCTGCTGCTTCGTGTTCTTCCTCCCGCTGCTGGTCATCGTCTACTGCTACATCTTCATCTTCAGGGCCATCCGGGAGACAGGCCGGTAAGGGCCGGCGATGGAGAAGGGGCTAGAGGGGCGGCCCACCTGCCCCAAGCCTCACACCTGCACCCACCCACCAGAGTACTCACAGCTCCAGGTGGCAAAGACCAGCTGAGCACACGCTCCTGGGGTAGGGTGCCTAGAGAAGTCTCAGGAGGTGAGGTCTTGTGAGGAGGGGGCTTTTAGGCATGGCTCACACCTAGAACCACAGGCAGTCAGCCGAGGCTCGAAGTAATGGAGAACTTTCTAGAAGTCAGGGCTGCCTGCATTGGAAGGAATGACCCCCTCCTGAGTGACCCCAGAGATGGTCCAAGGAGGGTCCCGATAGCAGCCGTGACCCTGGCACTCACTGCACCCGAGTGGGGTCTGACTCAGGCTATGTGCCCTTTCTAGGGCTCTGCAGACCCTTGGGGCCTTTGAGGGCAGCGATGAGTCCCCATGGCAGCAGCAGAGGCTGCAGAACGAGTGGAAGATGGCTAAGATCACGCTGCTGGTCATCGTTCTCTTTGTGCTCTCCTGGGCCCCCTATTCTGCTGTGGCTCTGGTGGCCTTTGCTGGGTAAGCAGTGGCTAAGGGGCTGAAGGCTGGGGGAGGAGGAGGGAACCTGGGCAGCCTCTCCCTCCCAGCCCAAACCAGGCCAGCCATCCTCACCCCCTAGTCCAGTCTAGCAGATTTATTCTCTCCCTCTGTGACAGCCTCCCCCAGGGGGCCGGCCCAGTTCCTGGAGGCACCAGGGCACCTGCTGGGGCAACTCTGGGCCACCCCTAGGTTTGCCTAAGGGCCCCCTTGGGAACATGCAGCTCTCCCCAAGGTTTTGGTTCCCTCTTTGCCTGGGCTGTGGGCACATAGCCAGGGGTGCTGCTCACCTCCAGGAAGGGGTCTCTAAGAGCTGCCCTCTAGTCCTTTGTGGCTAGAGTCCAGGGATTTTGACATCTGTGGCAGCATGGACGTAGGTGAGACTTCACAAGCACCTTTAAGACAGTGAGAGCTATTAAACTTAGGAGCATTTGAATGCGGGACCTTCTCCTTGTGTAGGAATAGCCTGATTCCCTCCTAGGCCCTACTGTGAGATCCTCTAAGAGCCAGGGAATGGAGGGCATCAGGGTTGGGGTGCAGCATGGGAATAGCTGGGCAGTGCGTCTGAGGCCAAGGTCAACAGGGGCAGGGGAGGTATTGCTAGCAGCACAGGCTTCAAGGGACAGTAGGACCTGGCAAACCCCGCCACCCCCACAAGCCTGGAACATCTTCCTCTCAGATCCCCACCCTCGGCTTCCTCTAGCTCCCTCCCACTCACCTCTGATCAGGATTCTCCCTGGCACTGCCAGTCCTTCCCTGTGCGGCTGACTTGGCTGTTCTGGTTTGGGCCAGGCTGGGGTCTGAGGAAGAGGTTTTTTGGGGAAGGCAATTTGGCAGGGTGACAACACCTTCTCTGTCCTAGGTACGCGCACGTCCTGACGCCCTACATGAGCTCAGTGCCAGCTGTCATCGCCAAGGCCTCTGCCATCCATAACCCCATCATTTACGCCATCACCCACCCCAAGTACAGGTGCGGCCCACCTCCAGGCCCCCTAGCTACACCTGCGGGAACGGAGGGACTGGGACTGCAGATGGGGTGCAGGCCAGCCATCTTTCCTCTCTCTGGCATGTGCATTGGGCAGTGACTGCTAGCAGCTGGGAGCAGCCAGTGAGGTGACCCCCCAACTGCCCCAGCTTCTCAGGGGGCTCAGCTTGGAGGGACATCAGGGCTCTCTGGGCAATGTCTGATCCTAACTATGGGATCTTTGGAATTGGGGTATAAGGACAGCTGATCGGCGGTGCCGGCCCTGCAAAGACAAACTCCCCAGACAGCGTCATCCTGGAGAGACCAAAGCAAGGAGCACTCGGAGCACTCGGCTTCGCTGCAAGGGGCCTGGCAGGGGCCTGGGCTGGTTCTGGGCCAGTGCATGCTCTGCTGATAAGAATCCCAGCAAGGCTGCCTCTCCCTTGAGGGGCCCTCAGTGCTTCCTTTAGCCTGGTGGTGTTAGCCACTCACCATCTTCCTGAAACCAGCTGTAGGACTCAGCCCATCTACCTCGGAGGATGCTCAGGAGCGTCCCGGGTCCCCATTTCCAGAGACAAGGCTCGAGCCAGCCACTTGAAGACTAGAACTGATGTCCACCTGGCTGAACCTGCTACCCAAAGCCTCGCCCTTCATGCCACCACCCCAGCGTCTGTCTGTCTGTCCTCTTCACCTCCAATGATTCCCAGTTCTTTCTGTTCTTTCCCATAATCCCAGTGTCTGTCTGTCTGTCTTCATAGTCCCAATGTCTGAACCTCCCTACTTCCCAGTGGCTCTCTGTGCAGCCACATTAGCTCTGTACCGATCTGTCCATCCATCCCATCCCCCCCATGTCTGTCCATCCCTTCACCCTAACCAGACATGTGTCCCCTGCAGGGTGGCCATCGCCCAGCACCTGCCCTGCCTGGGGGTGCTGCTGGGTGTGTCAGCCCAGCACAGCCGCCCCTACCCCAGCTACCGCTCCACCCACCGTGCCACGCTGACCAGCCAGGCCTCTGACCTCAGCTGGATCTCTGGACGGAGGCGCCAAGAGTCCCTGGGCTCTGAAAGTGACGTGGTAAGGATGCTGGGCCCTCCCTGGCTGACATCCAGCCATCCCTTCCATAACCAGCCCTGGGGCTCATGGGCCCAGAAGGGTTGCATCTGAGATTGAGGGATCCTCAGGACCTTGGGACTCTGGCAGGCAGAGCCCTGCTCCCAGCCTCTTCGTGGAGGTTCCTGTGCCTCATCCTTCCCGATAGGCAGGGTACTGGGGCCAGGGAGGGAATGGGTTGGCCTGAGAGCCCCCAGCAGCAGAGTCAGGACTGAACAGGAGTATTCCGACTTCAGGCCACCTCTTTTTCGTGCTGACACTATCCTCAGAGCCACAGCCTGAAAATGTGAGCATTTCTGACCCTAGTGGGCCTCCTGAGAGACAAAGCAAGAGCTGGCGTAGGGCCCTGCTCCTCCTCGGAGCCTTGAAGAGCCCACAGGAGGCCGTGGAAGGAGCACTGGGCCTGGAGTGGAGAGACCTGGCTTCCAGCCTCAGTTTACCATATCCTCACTGTGGGAACTAGGACAGGTCCCTTGTCCCCTCTGAGTCTCCATGTCCTCCTCTGAAAGGGGAAATGGTCATCTCTGCATCCACCACTGGCCAGAGCATAATGAGTGTGCCCATGGGTAGGTGCTGATCCCACAGCTGGTGTCAGGTCCTGGAGCTGTCATGCTCTGAATGTCCCCAGGAGGGCTACCTGCACCATGCGCTTCTGTCCCAGCCACACTGGGGCACCTCCCTCGTTCTACCTACAGGGCCCCTGGGGGATTCACCACGAGGCTGCCCAGCAATCTCCTTCAACTGCCCCCATCCCTGGAGGTCTTGGTTGATCAGGGATCCCCTTCCTGAACCACTGAACCAGTGAACAGTGAGAAGTAAATCTAATTTGTTAACAGAGGCCTGGACCCTCATGAAGACCACCCATCTACCCAAAATATAAACACCCACATGCCTAGGAAGGTGTGCGTGCGGGCGCACACACACACCTGGGCACACGTATCCTGGCACAGGCACACACAGTTTGCAGGGATTTGGTAACCAGCAATCGTGCAAAAGAAGGCATGGGCCTCCCGGGATGAATATCTGTGGGAGGAATGGAGAGGGGGCTGGTGGGGGAGGGGAGGAGCAAGGCTGCTCACTGTCCCTCACCCCACGCAGTCACTCTCCCACCTCCCCCAGGGCTGGACAGACATGGAGGCAGCAGCTGCGTGGGGGGCTGCCCAGCAAGTGAATGGACGGTTCCCCTTCGGTCAGGCCCTGGAGGACGTGGAAGCCAAAGCCCCTCCCAGGTCGCAGGGACTGGAAGCTGAGACTCCCAGGAAGGTGATTGGGCCAGGCACCTGCCAATCTGTAAAGGGGTGTGGAGCAGGAACAAGTAGCCCAGGGAGTGTCCAGGAAAGGGGGTCTTGTTCTTGTGGGCAGGCCCAATGCTGTCTGGGAATCGCCCCCTCCCTGCAACTCCCAGCTTTCCCTTGCCTGCCTGGGGAGTCTCTGTGACTCCAAGATGCTCTGAGTGTGGTCTGTGGCTGTTCTTAGGTGTGTCTGCGTGTGATTGTGTGACTCTGCAGCAAGGGTGCTGGTGTCTATGTTGTGCCATGACAAGTGTATGACGTGTGTTTAAGTGTGCGTATCCATGACAGTATGTGGTCTGCAGCTAGCAGAGCATAACTGTGCATGTGTGTGGCCATGTGCCTGGCATATGTTCTGTCACTGTGACACCCCAGGACACGTGACCAATCATGCCGCAGTGTGTCTGCTCTAAGCTGTGCGTGTGCACAAACGTGGGTGGTGTGTAGCTCTCTGTGTGATTGCAAGGCTGGACATACCTTGGGGGTTGGGGGCTACAAGCTGTATGTGCTCACTGTGAATGCCCTGAGATCAGGATGCCACCCAGAATATTTCTGGCTATTAAAAGAAGGCCAGCTGTCAGCCCAAGTGCCTGTGGAACAGAATGTGGATGGAGATTAGAGAAGGCCATATTCTGGAATGCTGGAAATGCCCCCAAGGCAGCCCTTCCCCTTAGCTGACAGCTCCCCGCCCTCCTCACACCCACACAACACCCCAGGGCGGCTTCCCCAGCCAGCCCACATTCCTGCCTGCCTTCCCCACGCTGCTTCCCTGTGTGTCTGTCAGGAGAGAGGGGAGCCTGGGCTGCTCCCTGCAGTTGGGGAGCCTCTGCTTCCCCCAACATTCCCCTTCCCTACCCCAGGAAGCACCGAGTACTGTGCATGGCCACAGAGGCCAGTACAGCAGCTTGGCAGGGACCCCCAGGCTGGCCAGGCAATGATGAAAGACACAGTGCCTGTCCTGGAGGGATCCAGGGTGGGGGTGGGGCACTGGGCAGGGAGGGCCAGCCATCAACAATCACCAAACACATTTGATAAGCGCTGCCATCAAAGTATGAGCATCCAGGGTGCTGAAAGCAGAGGCAAGTCCCCAAGGCCCCCCGGAGAAGCTGGCAGGGAAGCGGGGATCTCCAGGCAGCCTGGAGGTGGGGAACATTGAGCCGTCCAGGCTGAGAACACAGCCTGTGCAACCACCAGGGGACACAGGGGAGGGAGCTGGGCATGCCCTGGAATGGGATGTCTCTCTGTGACCCTGGCAGCAGGCAAAGGGACCCTGGGGACTGGCAGGAGGAGTCATAGGAGAAGAGGAGAGGAGCAGGAGGCTGTAGGAGCAGTGGGGAGGCCCAATCAGGTGCTGGCCTGAGGAGTCTGCAGACCTGGCCCTGGGGGACAGGGAGCCCTGGGAGGCTCAGTCAGAGGAAACCGTGCTGCAGGGCAGGCAAGGAATGATTGGTTTAAGGGCAGCCAGGGTGAGAGGAGACGCCAGAACACACACATGGGGAGAAGTGGGGAGAAGGGGTGAGTTGGATGGTGGGGGTGAAGACAAGGTCAGTCCAGACCCCAGCAGCCCAAGAGTCTGGGGACATCTGAGGGAGACCTCTGCAGGCAGCCTTAGACACTGCTGGCTCCTTGTCAGAGATGTGGTCTCCAGGAAGGCCCACCCTGACCCGGGATGCACCCTGGCCCTTCCATGCACCCTCTCTTCACCATTCAGTGACCCAAAATGAGGAGGGTCACTGGGGACTGCCCCCAGTAGATACTCCTCAGGCTAAACAGACATGTGCTGTTTGTTTTCAGACCAAGGGACTGCTCCTCAGCCTGGACCCCAGGATGTAGGACACCCATAGGCTCTCCCTTTCTTCAGGGACATGTCCAGCCCCCTGCCATCTCCGTCACACACACAGACCCACACACAGAATTATCCCATGAGTCTGCAAGCTTTGAAAGTGGGACTGTCACCTGTGCTATGCTGCATTCATGGCCCCGGCCCCATGTCCCCTCCCCACACCACAAAACTCCTGCCCTGTAATGTGGTCTGCACCCACTTCTCAGCTCAGCAGCTGAACCCCAGGCTCAGCCTGCACAGCGTGTGCCTGGGCCCTCCCACTTCCCGGAGTCATCCACCTCTCCTCAAATGCTGTGTGCTGTGATTGTCCAGGCGATGACAATGGCGATGGCTCCAGGGGACACACCAGCTATTTATAAGCGAGGGATCTCGGCCAGCCTCTGTGCCCGGGCTGGCATTTCACTGGCTTGTGAAGGCCAGCTCTGCATCTCCCGTTGCCGGCAGTTGAAGCTGAGCACAGATCTCACTTTGCACGCTGGAAACACTCACTCGCCTCTGACTTCTTCCCCCAGTGGACAGTCCCCGCCTGCAGCCCACGCTCCCATGCGTCCCACAGACACCTACTTGCATGCACCCCAAGCATACGCGTGCTCACGCTGCACCTGTGGTTTGTTTCCTGTCGGTGGTCTGAGTTCTTCCCAGGTTTGTGCAGCTCTTATGGGGTACAGAAAAATAAAAAGCAGACAAGGTCTCCTTGGACAAACATGATCTCTACCTATTGGTGCTGTGATGAGAGAGAGAACCCGGGCCTGGCCTCTGGTGCCTCCAGCAGCTTCTCTCCCCCCCCACCGCCCTCCGCCTCTGCCCCCCAGCTTGTCACTCACTCTCAAAGGCCCATCTCAAACTGCAAGAGGCAGAGTGGAGGAGGGGCAAAGACCAGGCTTGTCCCCATTTTTCCTCCCTTCTGAGCTACTTAGCTCCGCCCAGCCCATGGGTACCAGCTGCTCTCTGGCTTGGCTTTGGGTCTCCCAGGGGAGGCAGATGGAGGGAGGCCGGCCTTCCCCTTTAAGAGCAGCCTCCTGCCACCCCTCCCGCTCCCCAGAGGCCAGCATCAGGTGGGTACCAGAGTCCAGAGAAAGAGCACGCAGCTCCAGGTACAGCCTGACCCAGGGGGGCCCCCTCCCTGTGCAGGGTCGACTCTTCCTTCCCCCACACCGATCATGCCCTGATGCTGAGTCCTCCTCATCCTGGCAGGATGGACACTCCTAGGAAAGGAGATAAGGCTGCAATTAGGGATGAATGGCATGGGACCTTGCAGGAGGGACAAGGGATGGTATAGGGGAGGGACAGGGGTGCTGGCCATGAGCTGCTGGCCTCCTGCGCCAGGCCAGCTGAGAGGACAGGCTGGGCTACGTGATGCGGGGCAGAGGAGGTGGTGAAGTGGGGAGAAAGAACACAGGCCCCTCCCTGGCTTCTGACACTTGATATTTTTGCGACCTTGGGCAAGTTACCAAATGACCCTGTAATATGGGCACTCCTACCATGCCCCTTGTGTGTGCCAGGCCCAGCGTGTGAGGGTGGGGTGCTGGCAGCTGGGAAATTACCCACACCCAGGCCCACACTGAGTCCTTAGGGCCTAGCCCAGCTCAGAGTCCTCCAAGACAGCCAGCAAGCAGCCAACCCAGTCACCTTCCCTTAGCCTCAGCTTCCCTGGCCTTGGTCTATCTCCAGACCACACAGGGCCTGGGGTCTCTCTTTGGGGGAGAAATTCTATGGACATCTTGGCCCAAGGACCATACTGGCAGGAGTCCCAAGGGGCCAAGGCATACTGTCTCTGGGGTACAGGCTAAACATGCCACACACACTTCCCCTCCCTACCCCTTCTGGCAGGGTGTGAGGGTGGGGTGCTGGCAGCTGGGAAATTACCCACACCCAGGCCTGCACGGAGTCCTCAGGGCCTAGCCCAGCTCAGAGCCCTCCAAGACAGCCTGCAAGCAGCTGAGCAAATGGCATCTCCTCCCCTCGTCCCTGCCCCTGCCATTCCTGCGCAAAGGGCACAGGGCCCTGGCGTGCAACACTGGCAGCTGGAGCTTTCCATGATGCTGTCAAGTTTTCCGGAACATAAATGAGACAGGAGGGCCAGGAATAACCAGCGGGCCCCCCAAGGGTCTAGAGGGTGTGGGCCTGCCACAAACCTGCTTCAAACACTGTGCCAAGAGGTGCAGGCAGGGGCCCAGTCCCTTCCCCCAGCCAGGGCTTTGGGAGGCACCCATGGCCACTGGGAGCCTGTTATTTGGCATGAATCCCATAGGAATGAGTCCAGGCTCCAATGTGGCCCGGGTCCACTCCCTCTATGACCTTGGGCCAAACTCCCTGAGCTGTGGTTCCTGTGGGCCAAGGTGTCAGCCCCTTTGGACACAAGGGTATGATGGCATGAAGTGCCCCATGCTGAGCTTGGCTGTGCCCAGAGCTGCTACTATTATGATGATCATTTTTATGGCTGGACAGCCCTGGGCTAATCACCAATCTCCAGAGCTGAAGTTTTTTCCAGACAACCTGTAGGCTCAGCTCAGTCCTAGGCACCACCAGGGCCCCACAATGGATAATACACAACCTCAGAGTTCTTGGCAGGTAGCCCAGGGCAGCAAAGACCCAAGTCGCAAAGCCCTTTCCATGGGAGCTCAGCCCACAGCCTCCTGGGCAAGGGGGTGGGGACAGCCGAGCAGGGAGCAGTGTCTGAGCTCTCCAGGGGACAGAGGGGAGCAAGAGGGAACGAAATCATTATCCTGACCTGGCCAGTCCCCGCTTCCTGCCCTGGGGTGGGGGGTGCTGGGTGCCGGCCACCGCTCCCTAGGGGCTATATTAGCCGCGTGAGTCACGGAGGACGGTGGCGGGTGGGAGGCCACGGGCGGGCGGGTGCAGTGTAGGGTTACAGTCCATTTATGGGCGCGGCCGAGGGCAGATATCGGTGTCGATGGCATTCACTCCCAGCTATTCTTAGGAGCCTCTCAGGAGCTCCACACAGCCTGGCCGGGCAGCAGGGGACAGAGCAGGCAAGGCCGGGCGTCGGGGCAGGCAGAGGTGCGGGCTGGAGGGCGGCAGGAGTGCCTGCTCACTCCACTCTTTCTGCCCTTCATCCGCAGACGCGGCCGCTGTCAGCTCCAGCATGTCTTACAGCGTGACCCTGACCGGGCCCGGGCCCTGGGGCTTCCGTCTGCAGGGCGGCAAGGACTTCAACATGCCCCTCACTATCTCCCGGGTGAGTGCACACTGCCCGCAGCCTGGCACCCAAAGGTGCAAGGCGCGCTCGGAGTGGGCCTGTGTGTGTGTCTCTCTGTTCTCTCCAAGGCTCTCCGAAAGCAGAGCACCCCCAATCCCAAGTCTGGGGGCTGGGACCGGACTGGTCTCCTGGCTCAGCCACAGCTATTTGCCCACCCAGTTGGTTGGACTGTTGTGAGTGCGAGACATCGTGGGCAGGTAGCAGGTGTTTTGAGCAGAGAAGGAAATGCTGAGCTTGTGGGGCAGGCAGGCAGGTGGACAGAGTACAGCACCTGCCTCAGCCCTTCCTTGGAAGGGGGTGCTCAGGGTGACCCCATCGCCCTGGACATGGGCAGCTGCTTTAGGAACAGAGCATTCCTACTGTGGAGAGGGCAGGTGAGGGGTGGGCAGATAGATGGATGGACAGACTGCTGATCCTGGCCGAGGCTGGGCTGGACTGGTTACTGGGCTCCAGCAGCCGATCCATCCCAGAGCCAAGATACCTTCCTCCCCTGCCACCCTGGGCCTCGCACTGGCTGGCTCACGGCACTGGGCCTTCCTTACCTACCTGAGCACCCTCTGTTCACCCATGGCTGCTTTGCCTGCCTGCCCATGTCCTGTGCTGTTTCCCCATGCTCGCCTGGGGAAATGACCCCTGTGTCTGCAGTGTCTGTGATCCGGGAACAGCACTGCTTGATGGGGACAGCACAGAACATCAAGGCTCAGGGTGGACTGTGAGACATGCGACTGGCAAGGACAAGCCCTGCCTGGTGGCTGAGCCCCTGGCAGTGCTGCTCTGGGCACGAGAGGGCAAGGTGAGGCCCATGGCTGTCACTGGACAGTGGTGAGTGGGCAGGACTATCTGGGTTACTGTCCAACAGGGGAACAGGAGATAATTTCTTCTCTAGGGCAGCAGAGACTCGGGGGTGAGAGGTGGGAGCCTTGGGGGGAGACCTGAGGTGGCAGCCAAGCAAGGCCTGGAAGATGCTTGGGAGAGCAGCCAGGAGCCTGGAAAGAGGATCAGGGACCAATTCCCCCACTGGAGGAACAGTCTCAGTTTGGGAGCCTGGCATGGGTACTTGGGGGACCCCAAAAAGGAGAAGCCCCACCCAGGGCTGCCATGAGAGCCTTGTCACAGCCATAGAGGCCACATTCCTCCAGGACGGGTGCTGGCCTGGCTGTAGCCCAGGGAAAAGGCCTTGCCCTCTATCTCGCTGTTGGAGATCTGGCTCATTCTAACCCAGAGTCTCCACCCTTCACCTACTGCGCTGGGACCACGGGGTCTTATACTAAAAGGACACCAGAGCCTTGCACTCCTTGTTTGATGATGTGGTGATATGTGGGCATTTGAGCCCCAGTGGATACTCCCCTCCTAGGACCCTGCACAGCCCCCCATGCCCATGGTTGCAGGTCTCCTTCCTGTACCAGATGGGGGCTTCCAGCCTCCCATGGCTGAGACTGAGCCCCCATCTCCCCCAACCCCATCCTCCTCTAGGCCTCCTGCTGGTGCCCCTGCCCCATCCCTGAGGGTGCAAATTAGCCTCCGGGCTCAGTGGCACCCAGGATAGCTAATGACCTCACCCAGGGTCTATGCGACACCTGGCCCTCACTGGCCAGGGGCTTAAATGGCAGCACAGAGGCCTTAAGCTAGACATCAGGAAGAATGTCCTCCCTGCGGGGAGGTGGTATGTTGGGATGTACTGGAACCAATGACTGGGAGGACTTTTAAAAATAGAACCCAAAGCCCAGGCAGGCATCAGAGGATGGGCACGACGGCCTCTCAGCTCCCTTCAGGGACATGCCCCAAGTCACCTAAGCCACAGAGCAGGCTGGACTGGGTGCTGGGGCCTCCCCAAGACTTGGAACCCCTTGACAAATTCCACTGGTGGGCCACCGATGCCCTGGGCTTGGCCATCCCAGGCTCAATGCTTCTGGCCAGGCAGGCCCGTGGACACAGGCCCTGCCATTCCCCCAGGGCTATGGTACTCCCCCAGGCCCTTCCGCACAGAACATCTCCCTCAAGGGGATGAAGGACCATAGCTCTCTGGAGGAACCCCACTCTGGCCCCAGCCATGGCCCACTTCCCACAGGACCAGTGGACGTCCTCACATAAGCCTTTGCCAGAGGGCCCCAAAGTCAGTACTGTGGTGGGAGGGCTGGTAAGGCAGAGCCTGCCCATTTCCAGCAGGGACCCGTACCCCCTGGGCACAGTCACTGCAACCCTGAGGGTGTGGGCAGCAGCGGGGCTGGAGTTATCATTTCACCTCAGAGCCCAGAGAACCAAGGCTCACATCTACTCACGGGACACACATGGCCAAGGGTGGAGCCCCTGTGTCCTGGTAACCCCTAACTCCCATGGCTGGTTGAAAGGCACTAGGTGAGGCCTGTCCCCTTTCAGCTGCGGGTGCACACTGCAGGCTGGGTGCTAGCTCCACCCGCACCCTGCCCGGGTCCCCACAGCATCAGCCTGGGGCAGCATCAGCCCTTCAGGCCTGCCTTCAGTGGATCTCAGCCTGAGGACCCACGGAGAAGGGGGTTCAGGAGGGAGACTCAGAGCGTGCAGGGGACAGGTGCGGCTGGGCCTGCAACATGAGCTGCCCTCTTACCGCGTCCCCTCCCCCACCCCAGCCAGTTCTCCAGGAAGTGGGGCGGGGTGAGAGCAGCTCCAGAGGCCCGGCGCCCACCCCTGCCCCAGCAGCTGGCCAGAAGCTGGGGCCATGGCCTGGGGCTTTGCCTCTGCCTGCCTGTTATGACCCAAGAGACATGTTTGTTTGACTCAGCTATGCTACTCTCGGCTGTGTCACCTTAGAAAAGTCAGTTTGCCCGCTCAGCCTCAGTGTTCTCACCTGTGAAATGGGGATAGTGCCCTCCCATACATGTGGAACAGGAACTTGTGAAAATACTTTGCAGCTGGCTGGTTGTGAGGGTGGGGTTGTGGGGAGGCTGAGCCTGGGCCCAGGCAGGGGCTGCCTCTCTGCTGGTTTTGGTTCCAGTATTTATTGGACTCTCCCAGGTACGGTAGGGATACTGAGGACAGAGGGTCCCCGGGAGGGGGAGGGGGAGGAGGACAGGTCAAGACTATTTTGGGGTAGCTGTGCCTGCAATTCCTGGAATTTTGAGGCCACTGGAGCATGTCGTGCTGTTTCTTTGGGCAGCGCCTAGCAGTGCTGACAGGCCGTGCTGTTTATAGCCAGGCTGAAGGTCAGGAAAGCTTCCGCGGGCTCCTGCGGGGCGGGCCGGGGCCTCCCCACAGCATCTATCTATCAACAGGGGAAGATAAGTGGGTACAGACTCATGCCCGGGGAATGCATTCTTAGAGGTTCCCCCAGGCCAGGCCCTCCTGCTGCTTAGAGCTCTCTCCCGCCCTGTGAAGGCGCCCTGGGAGTGAGTGGACCTGGACCCCCAGAGGCCCCTGGGCGGAGACACAGGGCACAGGCCACTGCATAGGCAGTCCTGGGGTCTCTGGCTAAAGGTGTTATGGGACGCGACTCATGTGAGGAGGACAGGGCCCCGCTGGGGCAGCCCTCCAGCCTGGGAGATGTCCCCCAACTCCCAAGTCTCCTTCCCTCTCTATGTGGTCTCCTGTCATCTAGAGTCTGCCCCTGATGGCAACCCCCCCCACCCTGGGCCCTCCCACCCCCAAACACAGCTTCTCAGCCCCTTTGGAGCCAGGCTCCCTCTCTACCTGGGAACCACCCTAGGAGGCACGATGCAGGCTTTGCCAGGGACCCCTGGGAGCTGAACGCCCACGAGAACATTTTAGCGGCCACACCTAGGACACAGATGGCACTGTGGGCCTAGACAGAAGGAGCAGAGGAGTGGGCAGAGAGGCAGGGGAGGGCGTGGTCAGCTAGAGAGGGGACAATGACCCCCTGGCTTTGGGCACAGGGAAGTCATTGGTATGTGTGGAGTGAGAGGGGTGGGAGGTAGAGGACGTGGGACCAGCGGGTGGCTCCTCGGAGAAGTCTGGAGGAGAGAAACACGGCAGGAGTCAATCAGAGCATCCAGGGCAGGAGAGGCTTTTGAACATAGAAGAGGCTTATTTATTGGCCTTGGGCAGACAGAAGGTTCCAGTGAGGGAAGGGCAAGGCCCCAGGGGAGGCCAGATGGAAGGGCAGAGCAGGCACAGGGTAACTTAATCATGCAATGTTAACAGGCACTTAGGGCTCGCTGGGAACCCCCTGGAGTGCTCAGCCTGGGAGGCTGGAAGGAGCTGCAGAAGTCACACCCTTCCTAAGCATCCCGTACCTGTCCCGCACCCCCCACCCCGCCACACCAACTCTGGTGGATCTAGAAAGGAGGGAAGGCAGGGGCCTGTCTGATTTTTAGCGCTGGGAGGGATAGCCAGTAAGTTCTGCACGGCCTAGCTACCCTCCCCGCTGCGGGGGAGCTGGGGAATTAGGAGCCAATGGCAGGGGTGTGCTGGAGCCAGGCCGGCACCTTCTTTACCCAGGACCCTGGACAGAACTTTTCTCCCCTTCCCCTGATACTCTGGCCCCTATAGGGACAGCAGGCTGGCTCAGGATGGTCAGTCAGGGCTGGCTCCTCACACGCCACCCCCTGCCAGCTCTGGATCTGTTTCCTGTGGAGCCTGGTGATGTGGCCTGCCCTGCCAGCCTCAGCCCCTCTGGAACCTCTTGGGGGAAGGGGACCGGGTCGGCACCTGGGCTTCCTTGGTTTAGGGCTTCCCTGAAACTTTCTCAGCTCTGCACCCTCCTTACGTAACAGACTCTTTAATAGTGTAATCCTCCCCGTTATCCTGACACACAAGGGCGTGGGGGCTGGTCCCACAGCCTGAGGTCTGGCTCCCACCAAAGCCCATGCTCTCCCTCTGCTGCCTCCTTCCTAGGAACGCACAGCAGCTCTGGCACCAGCTCTCCTTGTTCCACACTCTGGTGCACCCTGAGACCACAGCCCGGCCAGGCAGGAGGGCTCCTGTGGGCCGGGTGGCTGATGTTGGCCTCCAAACACCTAAGGACCGTCCCCAGGAGCTTTTCAGATGGCACTCTATGCCCCACCCTGAGGCCTATCTAGGCTCTGCCCAGGGTTGGGTTCCCAGTTGAGAGGTGGCTGTTGGCTGGAGCAGACTGGGTGCAATGAAAATGAAACATTCATTCAGGGGCCGGCCCGGTGGCGCACTGCTACAGTGTGCGCTTGGGAAGTGCGGCGGCGCTCCCGCCGAGGGTTCGGATCCCACGTGCAGACCGGCCGCTCACTGGCTGAGCGAGGTGTGGGAGCAACACCGAGGGTTGTGATCCCGTTGCCGGTCCTGGTCCGGTACGGGTGTGACACTGAGGGTTGTGATCCATTGCCGGTCACGAAAAAAGACAAAAAGGGAAAAAAAAAAAACAAAAAAAAAAACATTCATTCAGAAGAGGTTTTTAACTGCTCAAAAGGGGATAGAAAGATTTAAGGAAAAAAAAGAAAAAAAAAATCCTCCAAGGATTTGAGTGCTTTGAGTCCTTTCTGGGACAAAGTAAACAGAGAGAGAAAGATAGAGAGTCAGACAAGACACATAGAAACATCATGCCTGAACTACACTCTTCATGAGCCCTTGATGCTGGTCAAGGGTCCCAGGGTCCCCCAGCCCCCACTGCCCTGGCAGGCTGCACTGCAGTGGGGGAAGGCGTCTGAGGGTCCTTGATCACCCTTAAGGTCCCTGCCTCCATCCTGCCTCCTTCTCTAAGGACACCTGAGCAGAATAGAAGAGCATCTTCCTACAAGAGGCCATCAGCACCCCCTACCCCCCAACCCTGAGGAATATTGGGCCCTGCTCAGGGCAGCCAAAGGCCAGGCCAGCTGAGCCCTAACAAGCAGACACAGGTGCAGGGGGAGAGGTGCCAGGGGCAGGAGCCAGCTTGGTAGCTCCCCGCTGGGGGGGCTGGCTACTGACCAGGCCATGGGAAGGCTGAGCTCTCCCCTGGGAATGAGGATCCCCCAGCCCATACCAGAGGGTTAGGGGGAGCCAGGCAAGGGGAAGTGCTGAGATCCAGCAGGAAGAATTGGCACTAGCTGGCCCATGCCTGAGGGGGAACATGTTCCCGAGGCAGCTCTGAAGTGAGGACATTCCAGATGTCCCCACGGCTGGTCCTAGCTGATCTGGCCCCAACCTCTCTTGGATGTCATTCTGGTGCCCTTGTTCACACTGTCATGATCTTCTGGACACAACTCCCATCCTGCCTGGCAGTGTCCCCTCTGTGGCTGCAGGCCCTGCCCTTCTGTGTGGGATCTGCAGCAGTACCCCACCCCGAGCTCCCAGCTGCAGGGTGACATCCCCTTTTCTGTAGGTGGCTAGAAGCATCTGGGGTGTGCTGCTGTGGGGGAGCCCTGTGGGCAGTCTGCAAGGACAGTGCGGGCATTGCAAAATTCACCGTGAATGGAAGCATGCTGGTGTCTGCAACTTTCTTTGAGATGCCTCAAAAATAAGACAGACCAATGGATGGATAGAGGGACTGACATGTGAAGGAATGAGTTGAGTGAGACATTACGGTAGGACCTCAGTGGCGGATATCTGGGTGTTCATCATAAAGTTCTTTCACCTTTTTCAGTTTGAATGTATCTATAATAAAATGCTGGGAATAGCACGTTCCCACACAGGAAGCCAGAAGGGGTAGGGGGAGTCAATTTTCTGCCTGGCTGGGCAGCTCATCTTGCTCACGGGAGACCCCTGTCAGCCTTTAAAAGTGTTTGGTCTTCGTTGTTTTTAGCCTTTGTTCAACCTCTACACTCAAGGTGGCAACACACTCCTGTTGGTAGTAGAAGCTCCCTATGGCGATGAATTTGGGGATGAGGGCTGTGTGTACTTTGGGAATCCCAGGTAGTTCTAATGTGCCCCCGTGGAGCTGGACAGCAGGCTGGGCTTCCTGCAGTCTAGGTTTTGCTTCTCTATTGCTCTTCCTAGTCTCGGCAGTCCGTGGGCTGCAGGAGGGATGCTCTGGCACAAGGTGGCCGGTGATTAAGAAGGCGCCACAGCCCTGGGGCTGAAACAGTAGGTCAGCAGCAATTGGAAAGGGCTCTCCTGGTCTTGCTGCTGTCACTTGAGCAGTGAGTGTCGGGCACTATTTCTGTGGCCCGTGATGCAGTAATGCAGGGACAACTCAGCTCCTGGGCTCACCCTGCGGAGCCCATCTGGGAATGAACTGGAGACTGGTGCCTGCAGAGCACCCTGGCTTGGATGGGGACTTCCTGTGGGGACCCAGCAAGAGGCTTCCATCCATGTCTGCAAGGTCAGGGCCTGGCCAGAGGCTCACCCCGATTTGGCACCTAGGGCATGGGACTGTCCCCAAGGTCTTCTCTGGGCTCCTTCTAGGATGGTCCTCAGGCCTTGGCCAGAATCTGGCTTCTGCCGGCATTAGGAGCTTGGCTTGTCCCTGGGTTATAGCCAGGAAAGTGACCAGAATGAGCCCAGAGAAGCCAGGAGAACTGGCTGGTGGGCATGTTAAGGAGGCAAAGCCAAGGACACCTTCCAGCCACAGCCTAGGGTGGAGGGGCTCCAGAGTCTCCTCTTTCCTGTGGTGTCTCTGGGGGTGGGGCCTGCATGGCCTTCCACATGATGTCATAGGGATCAGGTTATAAAGTCATCCCTTGTAGTATCAGCAGGGGTTGGGGCGTTCCATGTGATGTCACAGAGGGTGGAGCCAGAGTCTCTATGACATTCCATGAAATATCTTTAGAGGTGGGGCTGCTAATGTCACTGAGGGCCATCAAGCCATTTTAGGTGATGTCACTAGGCCCTCTGGAATTTTGCATTTCATGTGATATCACTGTGCAGGGTGGCCATGGCATTCAGCATGCTATTACTAAAAGCCTGACATGCAGAATTTGGCATTGTGTGTGATGTCACTGGGAGAGTGATCTGAGACAGTGAAGCATCCCAAGTAATGTCTCAGGGGGTGTGGCCTTCCTGACATCCCAGGGCTGTGGAGTCTCAGTGGCATTCTGTGTGGTCACACTGGAGATGGGGCCTCCAGACTCTAACATTCTGTGAAGTCACTGGGGTGCAGGATTTGGGAACTGGCCCCCACACCTGCACTCCTCCTTCTGGAGGTATGAAGCCGACCCCAGAGCCCTGAGCCCTCCTGCCCCATTTCCCAGCCGGCGTTGCTCACCCAGGCAGTGTTGACAGTTCACTTAGCCCTCTGCACACCTGCCAGGGTAGCACGAAGCACCTGGCATTGGGATGCTTTTGTGTGGGTGCATTTATCCTGCCCACTGGCCTGGCAGCCTCTCTGAGGTGGTGCCGAGGGGGCCTGGAAGGTGTTTCATGTGTTTGGGGGGTGCAAGAGTTATAGTAGGCTAACTGGTTTAACAAGCAGCCCCCAAATCTCAATGGCTTAGCACAGCGAAAGTTTATTCTCACTCATGCAATGTCTGATATGGTGCTCCTGAATCTTCTCTCCTCCACACAGTGACTCCAGGATCCAGGCCCCTTCCAGGTAGCAGCTTGGCTATTCTCCTCTGTGTCCTCTGCATCCAGTCAGCCAACAAGCATAGCATGCGCAAGGATGGTTGCTAGGGGCAGACCTGGCAGTGGCGTACATCACTTCCATCCTCATTCCATTGGCCAGAGCTAGTCCCACAGCCACAGTCAGATACAAAGTGCTAGGAAATGTGACCATATGCCAGAAAAAGGAGTCAGGCTTGGGGAGCAGCTGGTACTGGCCATAGTGAATAAAAGACAACATGACGAGCCTCTACTGGATGCTTCCAGGTGACTCTTCCCTAAGGACTAACTCATCCTCAGGACAACCCTCCTTGATGCTCACCCCTCTTTTGCTGTCTAATTAGATCACGCCGGGCAGCAAGGCAGCCCAGTCCCAGCTCAGCCAGGGTGACCTTGTGGTGGCCATTGACGGCGTCAACACAGACACCATGACCCACCTGGAGGCCCAGAACAAGATCAAGTCTGCCAGCTACAACCTGAGTCTCACCCTGCAGAAGTAGGTGGGAGCTCTCCAGAGCAGGGGGCGGGAGCTTGGCGTGGACATTGGGGGTCCAGGGGAGGGGTGGTCCCACCACAACTGCATGGGCCCAGCCCTATCTACAGGACTGTGCAGGGACGTAAGAACAGCCCCCGGGGCCAGAGGAAGGACCAGGCCCAAGTTGTTATCAAGCACCTAGAGACAGACGTTACTGCCTCACTTTACAGGTGAGGCTCAGAGTGGTCACAATGCTCCCAGTACACGGGCAGCTGGGTCTGGAAGCCAGGGTCTTTCCTGCTTCCTTTTCGCCCAGGCAGCCTCTGAGGGACATAGCAGAGGCTTATGGGCTGACCAACATGCCCGAGGGTCATGACTTCTCCATCCCAGTCAGGCCTGCTGCCTTCCAGGGGAGACCCAGCCTGTGGGGAGGACAGGGGACCTGAGGCCCTCTGACCTGGCTGCCTGGCTCTCTCTTGCTCTTTCCTCACCAGCTCTGTCCAGGCAGGAGCTCCTGGCCCCAGGGGCACCTGTCCTCACTTGGTCCCATTTCTGGTTTCTCTAGGTCGAAGCGTCCCATTCCCATCTCCACGTCAGCACCCCCTGTCCAGTCCCCTCTGCCAGTGATCCCCCACCAGAAGGTAGGTACTGACTGTCAGCAGCAGGACCCACTCTCAGCAGTGGCTTCTAGAATGTGGCCCCTGGCTTCCATGCCTGACCTTTGCCTGGCCCAACTGGGACAAGGTGGCAGGGTTATCCCTGCCCCATCCTGGCCCTGCTGTGGCTGACCCCAAGGAGGTGGGGTAGGCCCTTGGGAGAGGTGTTTATGCCCCCATGAAACACTGAGTGTTGGGGTACCTGCCTGGTGCTAGCTACCCCCCCAGGCCTCGTGGATGGGTGATAGGAAACCAGCTTGGGCAGCAGTATTCTCAGGAGAGGGGTCATCATCCTGGCCAGGCAGGTGACAGGTGTCTGGGAGGCTCTGACCCTCATCTGCCTGAGGCGGCTGGGGCTGGGAGTGACTTTGGCAGGGGCCCCAGCTTGAGCTGGCCACCCCGAGAGGAGCTCCCAGGCATGGAGGGGCCTCCTGGCTCTCAGCGTTTGTCCTACACACAGTACCTCTCCCTCTGGTTCCACTTCCCCTCTTGCCCATCCCAATGGCACACCCCTATAGCCTATCAGAAGTGCTGGAGGTGGCCTTAGAGGAAGGCATGAGGGGCAGGCAGACCCTTGGCCCCAGACCTCACCACTGTGCCAAAGGCCCTTCCCCAGCTCCCCCTAAGCAACTCAACCTTGTGGACCCACGGGGCCTGACCCAAAGCACAGGAGGCCCACGCCACCACTCCTCCATCTTCCTCCCACTGCGTGACCTCGGGCTGGCCCCTGTCTGTCCAGTGGGGCAGAGAGGTCAGGGTGGAGAGAGGGGAGAAGAAGAGGTTGTCAGGGGTAGGGTGGGTCCCACGATGGGGAAGGGGGAGGAGGGCTGCTTGGGAGAAGTTGCAGAGTCAGCCCAAGGGGATCAAGTATCAGCCCACGTGCTCCTGCACCTCTACCCGCCTGCCTATAGCCAGCCCGGGGACCCCATCTCACTCCATGTTGGAGGCTTCTCAGTAGGGGGTCAGTACCATAGGAGGCTGGGCTATGCCCAGGGGGTGCCCACTCCCAGGGGAAAGAGGACCTATGCAGGATGCAGGGGGCCCGCCCTCCCCTAAGCCCCACACCCCCTTCCTCCAGCCCTGGGGCAGGCAGGCTTGGCTTGGCTTTCTGTGCAGGGCCTTGCATTCTGTTCAGCTGGATGCCAGCCTCCCGGCCAGGAGCTGTGTGCCTCCCCTGCTCCTCCTTCCGGACGCCCCATGCAGGCGCTCTGGGCCGCGGGAGGGGGGCTGCTGGGCGCTGCACTAACACGTCTGTTTCAGGTCCATGCAGGAGTGCTGGGACGCGTGTGGCTCTAACCGCTCTCTTCTCTCTCCCCTGCATGGCGCTGCCCTGGGCCAGGACCCTGCTCTGGACACGAACAGCAGCCTGGCGGTGCCCAGCCCCAGCCCTGAGGCGAGGGCCAGCCCGGGCCCCCCGGGCCCCCCGGAGCTCAGGCACACCTTTAGCTCCTCCTTCTCCCAGACCTCCGTCTTCTCTGCACACACGGAGGCCTCTGACCCCAGCCCTCCACGGGGAAGCCCAGCGGCCCAGGACCCACTGGGCCCGAAAGTCCCACGGGGCTCGAGCCAGCTGAGGCAGTATAACAACCCCATTGGCCTGTACTCGGCAGAGACCCTGAGTGAGATGGCTCAGATGTATCAGATGAGCCTCCGAGGGAAGGCCTCAGGTTCTGGACTCCCAGGAGGGTAGGTAATGGGCTCGCGGCCCTGCACTGGTGGTCTGGGCCACCTGGGTCCTCAGTGCTCAGAGCTGGCCTCGCTCAGCCAGCCCCAAACCCACAGGGCAGTGCAGGCTGAGAGTGACACAAGCAGTGATCCTACTGACTTTTGCTGTGAGCTGGGCACATCCTTGCTTGACACAGCCACCCTGGGGTGACCTGTTGGATTTTGCAGAGGAGGAAACTGAAGCTCAGAGCAGGTTAAGCCATGGTCTGGTTGTCCAGCTACTAAGTGACCAAATCAGGCCTGAATGCAGGAGACTCTGACTTCCAAAATTTTCACACCAGGCCACCCCCCAGCAGAGCTTGCTGCCTTTAGGAGCTGTGGGGTGAGGAGACAGGCTGGTTCCCACCCCTCCGGGAGTCCCGAGGCAGAAGCAGGGAAGAGTTAGAGAGGTGGAAGGGTGAGTCCTCTAGGGCTGGGAGTAGTCTGGGAAGGCTGCCTGGAGGAGGGAGTGCCTGAGCTGTATATGAAGAGATTTGGCAATGGTGTGAGGGGAGTGGGCTTGCAAGACCGACCCCGGCCAGGGTGGGGCAGCAGGGGTCTGTGGAGGAGAAGAGCAGCCCCACCCAGCTCCTCCCTCAGTCGCTGGTGGGACTCTGTGAGCACAGGAGGTAAAAGAACACAGAGCCAGGAACCATGGAAGGGCTGCAGGCAGGGAGCCCTGCACTGCGCACACATTTGCTTGCAAGCCCTTCACTCTTGTTTTCTCATTTAACTTCTACTGCCACCCCGTGCAGTCAGTATCGCTGTCTCCAGGTGCTAAATGCAGAGCAGGCCAAGTTAAGGCAGTACAGCCCAGTGGTTCAGCATTCCAGTGCAGTGGGACGAATCACACTGTTCACGTCTCCAGATTTGGGGGAGGATAAAAGAGACAACACGTGTAAAGCGCTGAGTTCTATTGTGTAGCAACTCACCACATGATACCTGGCACCGTGGTCACTGCCTGGAGCTACCACCTGGTACACAGAAGAGTCAAAACAGGAACCTGGTCAGTGTGACCCAAGTCCACAATGCAGACGGCACCTGTGCCCGGCCAGGTCGCTGCTCCCTGTACATCTCCCAGCTCCTCAGTGCTTTCTTGGAACCTGAGTGAAGTTAGTGCTTCTGGCACTCCATGGCGTCCCTGACCCAAGGTGGCAGAGCCATATTTATATGATCTCCTGGGGTTCCCCAGCAAGGGGCTTTTGCCAGAAAACCCAGAGAGTGGCAGACAGAGATGGCCTCCTTGTCCTGCCTTTGATGGACTGGTAGGTCTTCCTGGCCCTTCCTGGGACTGACCCCACGCAGAGTGGTCGGCCTCTGGTGGACTGGGACTCCCGGGAGGACCACCTGCAGTGATGACAATGTCTCTCCTTACTGAGCCCTCACTCTGGACTAGGGACCGACTAATAGTCCACATGCTTTATCTCTCAGTAACTCTATCTCACACAACTTTCTCAGCAACTTCAGAGGTGGGCACTAGTTCCCCCATCTTAAAGCTGGAAAATAGAAGCTCAGAGAAGATGAGTAATTTGCCCAAGGCCACACAGTTTGTAAGTGGCAGACAGGACTGGTACCTGGATCTGCCTGACTGCATTTGGCATTGAGACAGGGACCTATCTACCTGCTCAAGGAAGTCAGGGGCCAGTCCCACCCCTACTTCCCATGACTCCTAAGATGCCCTCCTGTTGGCACAGCGACTGCCCGGAATCTGGCAAATGTGTAAATTATCACTTGATACTCAGAGCAACAGAGTCCAACAGTTTTCTCAAAGGGAAGATGGGCTAGGGAAGGGAGAACAGTGCATGCTTCATTCAGAGCTAAAGCTGATGCTCTCTCAGGGCAATGCCGGAAGGAAGGGTTGGAGCCTCTGCTGGGTTGAGGCCACCATGTTTGCTAAGTGTCTAATTGCTTGCAGGAAAAAGAACTGGCAAATGCTAATCCCTGCTTCTGTACATTGCACACTTATCCCATGCTGAGAGCTTTAGACTCAGGATCCTCTTTAGTCTGCACAACCCATCTGTGCAGTGGGCACCACCTTCTCGTGGAAAGTGAGCCTGAGACAGGTGGGTGACTTGCCCAGAGTCAGTGCTAGGAAGAGGCAGGGTCAGAATTTGAACTCTGTCCTGTCTGGCTCCAAAAACAAGCCCCCTTCCCCTACTCTCTGCCCTGGGCAGCTTGCAATGGGATTCCTCGGCAGCTTGTATCCTCCTGGGAGGAGTGGAGGACAGATGGAGTGCCAGGGCAGGTGGGCCTGTGCACCCCTGCAGTCCCCCTTCTCCTCACCCTCTCTGGGGCTGGCTCTGAAGGGCAGTGTCCCTTAGGCCCCTGGGCACGTCTGGCATCACTGGCTCATCCTCCCCAAGATCTGGCACTGGCTCCTCTCTGAGATGTGTCTGCTGCCAGCATCCCAGCCTCTGGGTCCTCAGGCAGAAGCTGAGCGGGGGCAGGAATCAATGCCAAAGAAGGAGCTGGCTGCCGGGGCAGGCCAGAGGCAGCCCCCACCCCACCAGGCCAATACTGCACTCTGCAGGGGGCACTGGGCTGGTCAGGGCAAGAGGTGACCCTGCAGCTGTCAGCACTGGCCAAAAATGGAGAAGTAATGGAAGCTCCACGCTGGCCCTTTCCTAATATAGCTCTGCTTGCAGCTATTTTGGGCCTGGGAGGACACAGGGAATTTTATCAGTTCTGGGACAGTGGCCGGCCTGAGGCTGAGCAGAGCCACTGCCAGGCTCCCTTGGGCCTGGGGCCCCTGGCTTCAGCTTGGCTCCCTGAGTCCTGGCCCTGAGATGACAAGGTCAAGCCAGTTGGGATCCAGGCTCCCCCAGCCGGAGCCCACAGTGGGCAGATCTGGGAAGGTGACAGTTTGGGGGCAGAGGCTGCACCCTCTACAACCTCTCCCTCTCAGGTTTCAGACAGGGCCACTGGCCACAAGGTGTGCCACTGCAGGGAATTTGCATTTAAAGGGTCGTGCTGCAGGCAATACTTCACCTAAAGAACTGATGTTCCAGGAGGCTCGCTCTCAGATGAGAGTGAGGGGCAGGCTCCCTCTGTGCTGCCCGAGCCGGCCTGCCTCAGCTAGGAATTTGCTGCAGCAAGTCTTGGACCCGCACTGTCCCCAAGCCTCCCCACTCCTTTATCCTGGACTCAATGCAGGCCTGAGGGGCCTTTAGGAGTGATCTCTGGGGACTGCGCCAGCCCTCCGAAACCCTGTGCGCCAGGAGGAGTGGCCAGGCCTATCTGACCCTCTCTGGGATAGAGAGCAGGTCCTGGGGGCTGTGGGTAACCCCACCATACTCTGCCCCTATAATCCCGCCATGCACAGCCCCAGCACCACTGCAGTGCCTGCTCAGAGAGCAGAACTCTGGAGCTGCCCCATCAAACAGGGCCAAGTCCAGACCTGCTGTCTAGCAGGGAGGCACCTGTGCCCTGGCTCTTCCCACAGCAGCGACAGCTGGTCTTTTCTCCATCCAGTTTCCTCTCTGGGGTCTATAGCCAGCTTGAGGGATGAGATGGGGGGGACTTATGTACATGGTATGAGTGCCCGCAAAGATGGACACTCTGGCAAAGCTTAGGACACTGGGGCCCCATCAAGGGGGAAACTGCTGTGTTGGCATCTCTGGCCCAAAGCAAGGGTCCCAGAGGTCACAATTCCTGCCTCTGAGTTCTCCCCTCACTCAGTGCAGTTCGGGCTGGTTCTGCTTCCGTAATGGCCAGTCTGAAGATGGTCCTGGCGCTCGAATTCCCCCGGGCAGGAGCCTCCTCTGACCACCCTGTCTTCTTTGCCCTTTCTCTCCTCCCCAGGTGGTAACCAACTCTCCAGCCAAGTTAGTATCGGAGGACAGCACGTGTGTGCGCTTGCGTGCCTATCCCAGCATGCGTCTGTGTGTCCGTCTGGCGTGGATCGTGTGTGCCCCGTCGGCATGTGTACGTGCGTGTGCATGTGTGAGCGGGGGCGCATTTGTGCCCCCGGAGGAGCTTGCATGTGTGTGAAGCTGAAGTGTGGACTGGAGGCGTTTGGGGGTGGGGCAGCTCCGTCTGATGGTTCCAACTTTGGTCCCAATTTCCTGCTGCAGCTGCTTAAGACCCTCAGGCTGGTTCTGGGGGGGATGTGGGGGGTGGAGTGTCGCTCTGCCACTGGGCCTGTGTGAGCCTGAAGACCTTCCTTTCCTGGCGGGACCCCTCAGAAGGGCTGCACCTGGTCTTGCCTTTGCCTGGGGAACACACCCATCTGTTGGAGGGAAGAGCCCCCAATGAGAAGAGGCTGGCAGGCCACACAGCAAGCTGGACTTGAGGGGGCCTGGGCAGCCTGAGCCCAAACCCCCAGGAAGAAGCACATGCACAGAAGCATCCAGAAGAGCAGAACCCAGGCCACCGAGGGATGGCCAGCGGAATGAGCCCCTTCATGGAGGAACCTGGCTCCGAATCCCTGTGGGTGCCCAGGAGGGCTGCTTTTTGCCTTTGGGCATTCTGGACTCAGCTTGAGCTGCTGCTGCCTCTCACACATGGCCCAGCTCCTGTCCCCTTCCCTGAACCCCATGCTGCTAACGCTTTTTGTCTGCCTCCCTGCTGTGTGTGGTGGGAGATCTCTCTGTGCGGACCCTGGGAGGTAGCTCGAGATGGGCGAGGAAAACCTTCTGCACAGGGTTTTGGGAACTGTGCCAAGGATTTTTGCAACCAGACCCAGGCCACCCACAGTTGGGAGGACCTGGGTAGCCTACTTGGATCAGGGCCTCGGCTTTGGGAGATCTCTCTCGACACCCTCCACCACCAGCCCTCACCTTGACCTCCCATGTAACCACCACTTGTTGCCCTTTTCTCCCTCCCCCTCCTGATACCCCCCACCCTGATCCTCACACACCCCTCCCCCAGTACCGACTACCAGGAACGCTTCAACCCCAGCGTGCTGAAAGACTCGGCCCTGTCCACCCACAAGCCCATTGAGGTGAAGGGGCTGGGCGGCAAGGCCACCATCATCCACGCGCAGTACAACACGCCCATCAGCATGTACTCCCAGGACGCCATCATGGACGCCATCGCCGGGCAGGCCCAGGCACAGGGCAGTGATTTCAGTGGGTAAGCGCCTCCCCTCCTCCACCATCGCCCAGCGCCTCTGCCACATGCCAGGGCTCATCGCCTGCAGAGGCCAAGGGGACCAGGTCACTGGGCACCATCAGGACCAGCTTTCCTTCCTCGCCTTGGGCCTCCCGGGAACACAGGCCCTTGGAGGGGAGACAGTCTTCACCAGGGCCTTCCAGAACATGGTGTCCGCTCTTCAGAACCTACCTCATGGTCAACTTAAGGAGAAGGGTGGAGAAATGCAGTATATGGTGGCTCCTCGAAGTGCTTTTCACAGCCTCTGCATCTTCCCAGGCTCCACGAGAGTGCTGGTTTAGAAAGAGACTTCTGCAATCTCTTAACCAGGAGCACATTCTGGAGACCTCCCAGCCATTCTTTGGCAGGGGGAGTTGCCATGTTCTTCCAGGGATGAGAGTTGATTCAAACGCGTGACTGGGTTTCTGGTTTGGGAAGGGGCCCGGGACTAGCCATCCAAGGTGCTGTGGGCAGCCAGTCCCACTGACGGGCTCCTCCCGCCTCCTCCTTGACATGCGCTGCCTAAGGGCAATGGGATTTAAGACATCCTTGGTTCCTGGAAATTGCCCATTGGATAGGGTTGGCAAACTTGAGGGTTGAATAGGGAGAGTCGGCTGAAAATCATTCGTGGATGAAAATGCCAATAGTGCAAACATTAATGGGGACCTCTCTTTCTCTGTCTCTTTCTACCTTTCTCTCTCTCTCTCTCTGTCTCTTTCTGTATCTCTGTCTTCCTCCCTGTCTCTCTTTCTATCTCTCTCTGTCCCTCTGCTGTTTCTCTGTTGTACACACACACACACACACACACACACACACACACACACACACGAGTCCCTTACTACTTTCTACCTGGGAATACCATAGTGCTGACTTACAGAACTGGCTGATTATCTCTCCGGACAACATTTTATCCATAGGTCAGGAAACACAGAAACTCAAGGAAAAACGTCTTAAAAGGACGGCCATACTTTTTTCCAAAGGTAGGAAAGCAGAGTTAATAAGAGGGATAGAGAGGTTAAAAAGTCCCAGAGAACTCCTACAGTATTTGGCCTTTCCAGAGCCCGGCGCTGTGGCCATGGCGTGCACACAGGTAAGAGGGGCAGGCTGCAGAGCACGGGCTCTCCTGTGCTTTCTGGGTCCTGGGGAGCCTGGTGCCCTCTCAGGAATGTAGTACTCCTCTGGGCCGCCAGGGGGCAGAGACCACCTGTCCTGGAGCCCCAAGTCACAAACCGGTCAGGCCCATGGCTGTAGCTCTTTGCAAAATTGTGGACAGTGTTGATGTATCTAATTACATCATTCGAAGCAGAAAATATGATCATGCAAGTTTTAAAACACAACCATTAGCTCATGTGTACCCAGAAAAACAAAGCTGCCTGACTAAGCCCAAGAGCTAACAGGGATTTCCTGCTATCATTTGTTTGCATGTCTGTCCTTAAAAAGTGGTGGCAGTCGCCAAATGGAAAATAATGGAGGAACTGCTCTTCACTAACTTTACATTTTCTGTACCTCGGGAAGACTGCTATCATTTGCTTTTACCACTTAGGGCACCCATGATTTTTGGAGCACAAAGCGCTATTGATTGACCTGGACTTATCGAAATGCCCTTCCCACCCCCTCCTGTTCCTCTGCTCCCTGCCCCCTTCCCTCAGCCCTCCCTTTCTTCTCTTCCGTGCCTGGAAAGGCTCATCCTTTCCCCTTCCTTTTAACTCAGCCACGCTGGGCTGCCGCTGCTGCGGTGCCCGAGGGTCTGCTCCTCAGCCATAACGTGCTCCCATTTCTGCTGGTACTTCCCATGTTTCCTTCCTCACTGACCATTTTCTTTTCTCTCTCTCTTCCTCCTTCACCCACCCACTCCCATAACGCATTTCTGATCCTAACCCTGCTCTCTTGTGTGTGTGGCCCCTCTGCCATCGCACGATGGACGCACACTCATGGCTGGGTTTTCCTCTGCTTGGCAGGGCGTCGCCGCTGGCGTAAGTAGACCCCCCAGTGTCTGTCCCATCAGCCATCTGTCTGGTTGCAGGATGTGAGTGGGTTTGGAGGGATGTGTCTGCAGACCAGTGGTCAGCTCACGTGCTCTGTCTGTGTTCTTTCTCACACCCACTTTACAGCCAAATGACATCCCCTGCAGCCTATACAGGCAGGTACTTGTCTTTTGGGGTTTGCCCCAAATAATGTCACTATGGCCACTGAAATCATAGAGTAATGACACTCACATTGTGGCCCACCCTCCCCAGTTCTCCTTGCCATGCTTTCAGCAGGGTCCCCCCAGCCTTTCCTATCTGTACTGGAACAACATAGACCAGGGTGCTAGAATCCACACTGGGTCACTATTCAGGGCTAGAGGGTAGCAAGGGGGTCTCTTGGAGGCCCCTCCCCAGAATCCTCATGGGAGATGAGTCTTTAGGAGCCAGCACCTGCCAGGATCACTCATGGGAGATGAAAGACGAGTCAAATTTGAGGGCAGTGCACAGTGGAGTAAATGCCAGAGGTGACTTTGATGTTGCGGTGACCATGGAGTCTTCTGTGTGGCAAGAAGAACAAGCCGAGAGCAGCTCCCCAGAGTGGCCTTGGCCCAGGGTCCCAGGACTGTAGGACTGTTCCTCCTCTCTGCATATACTCTCCCTGAGCCTCTGCCTTGAAAGGCACAGTGATTCCCTCATCTGACTCCCAGTCTCTCTCGCAGCAGCAACACGGGTGTTTGCACAGTTTGGTGGGAAATGAAGCCAGCAACGTTGAGTCCCAAGAGATTCATTCCTGGCAGCTTTCTTGAGGCCTCGGGGCTGGGGAAGGCATGGGGGAGCCCTCATGGACACATTTCAGGGAAATGGCAGCAAGCGCCTGCCATCTGCTTTCTGGGTAGCAAAGCCGGGTATAGACAAGCTCAAGGGCCGGGCCTGGGCTTCCATCCATACCTTCCCTCTGCCATGGCACAACTTGCACTCCCGATTTCCCTGCTCTCCTAGCAGGCCAGCAGCCAGGACCAGGGAGGCCTGCTTGTGCCTTCCTATTGCCCCTCTCCCCCAAAGACCTCAGGAGCCCTTGAGACTCTTCCCTGTGCCAGAAATGGCCTCTCTCAGCAAGAGCGAGATCCCACCCTCTTCTTTATTTCCTGAGCAACCACGGGTTCCTCCCTGGCTAGACCCCACAGGGATCTGCTGGTCTTCCTCGTCTGATCCCAACTGCAAGCTTCCAGCTCCTGTAGCTCTCCAGGCCAGGGCAGAGCCTTCAGGGAAGTAGGGGCAGCTCCACCCAAACTTTATCCCCTTTCTACACCTCTGCTCTCAGAGCCCACCCTGAGCCAGATACAGGACCAGTCCTGGGAGACGAGGCCAATTCTCTGTCTGGCTTCTCGCACTGGGGAGATCCTCTCCCAGCTGGCCAGCCCCCTGGGGCAGGAGGATGTTCAGCATGTGTGTCTGTGCTGGGCCATGTCGCCAGGCATGGAGCATCGGGGACTGTGTCAGGCCCTGGTAGGCAGAAGTGGCCTTCCTGAGCCCTCATGACTATGGAGGGCCGGATGGAAAGGACACGGGACTGGGAGCTGGGAAGCCTGAGTTCTAGCTCAACAGAGCCCCTACGTGCCGTAACCTGGAGCTAGTCGGCTGGCCTCTCTGGACCTCAGTTTCAGCATCTGTGAAGGAAGAGGGCTGGGCCAGCAGTCTGTTATTGCTGTGGGCTTCGCCTACGCCCTCCGTGACCTGTGAGAGAGTAGGCTGGGTGGCTTCGACCTTCCAGCCCTACCTGGCAGGGTGCACGGGCACCTGTAAAGCTTCTGAACATTCCCTGCCCTGCTATGTGATCGGCCTGGGAGGCACTGGACCTGAGGGGCTCTGGGGTCTCTTCTGGCTCTGATCTAAGACTTGTTCATTGGGCTAAGAATTCTGAGCACCTACCACATGCCAGACCCTGGGAGTCTAAGGGATGTCACCAGGTCCCCTCAAAAGGCTGCACTGCCCTGGTGCAGAGGACTGGGACCCTCCTGCAGCTCCACTCCCAGCATCCCCAGGCCAGCAACCCCACTGTCCCTGCAGCCACGCCTGGGCCACATGGGCCCTGCTGCCTTGTTTCTCACAGCTCCTTCTAGCTACACCACATGTTTGCGGCTGAGCCCAGATCCCCAAGTCCTCCTCCACGGTGGTCGCACATTGGCACCTCCCTATTTGGACCCAAAGTTGTAAAGAGGGCACTGGATCAATCCTGAGGAAGTCTCTGGGTCACCCAAATGGCCTGTCCTCACCCAGCCCCAAAGTCAGGGCTTGCTCACGGAGCTTGAAATTGCTTCAAGAAGACCCCTTCTCCCTCCTCCTTCCTTAAAGGGGATGCAGCCCCTGGGGCAGGTGCAGCCCATCAAGGCTGGGCCTGGAGTTAGCACTGGGGAGTGGCAGGCAGGAGTCACTGATGTGCTGTGACAACCCTGAGCACTGAGGACCCAGGCCACGCCCGCATCCCAGGTTCTCAGATAGCCACGGGTAGCGGCATAGTGGGTAGAGAACAGGAGGGGCCACCAGTGGGCACAGGTGGCACAAGGGGGACACGGGGCAGGGCGGGAGCCGGGCTGCAGCTGGCCCTCGCCCACAGCCTCTGTCTGCACTGCAGGAGCCTTCCCATTAAAGACCTTGCCGTGGACAGTGCCTCTCCCGTGTACCAGGCTGTGGTTAAGAACCAGAACAAGCCAGAAGACGAGGCTGAGGAGTGGACCCGCCGTTCCTCCAACCTGCAGTCCCGCTCCTTCCGCATCCTGGCCCAGATGACGGGGACGGAATACAGTGAGTGAGGGAGCCGGGGAGGGTCCTCGCAGCCCACAGAAGCAGCCAGGGGAGCTCCAGCTGGGCCCCTCAGGGCGGCTGTGCAGTGATGCAGCCTTCTGCTCCAATCCCTGACTCTGACAGCACGCACAGGCTTGGCATGCTGCTTCCAGGGAAACGACTGCCCAGGGCTGGGATAAGGGGACCTCACAGGCCCCGCCTCTGACTTCTCCCCATAGCCACACCATGTCCTCTCGTGTCCCCCAGCCCTCTACCCGGCATGCAGCCTTTCCTTTCCGCAGTTGACAGGCTGGGGGCAGTAAGTGTTCAGGACCTGGCTGGATCCTGGGGACTCACGGCCACAGAGCTCCAGGGGCTTTTCTTCCTTGTGTTCTCTGTGAGTCCCCCTGACCAGCTCCTTTCTGTCCACAGTGCAAGACCCTGATGAAGAAGCTCTGCGAAGGTCAAGGTAGGTGCCTGCACTCAGGCTCTGTGGCCTTGCCCTCTAACCCCGCCCCTCCCCAGCAGCCCCCAGGCCACATGACTCATGGAAAGAACCTCTCATGTTCATGTATTTGGAAAGACCTGGCCCACAAAGGGCTCCAGCAGATGCTGGCTGGGAGCAACCATCCAGGCTCAGTGAGGTTGGTGCCTGGAGCTGAGTCCCTGTCCCCCAGGCCCAGGCCTCATGAGTAAGAACTCTGGGCTCTCCTGGCTCTGTCCCGGGCAGGGGGCAGGGCTGCTTTGGCCTTGGCTGGGCTGTTGAGAAAGAGGGCATCTCTCCCTGTGAGTCTGAAGGCTGGGCACTGGGAAGCAGGGACGCGGAGGGCCCTGCTGGGCATGAACGCCTCACCCCCGGACTCACCTGTGCAGAGCTACATTGAGGTACCCGTTCTATAAATTGCTCAAAGCACAACAGCTGCTGCTAGGAAGGACAAGCCCTTGGCATGAGGAGAGGCTTGTGCAGGGCTAGGGGTCTCAAGGCATGGTCTCCCTGTCAGTGGCAGGTCTGAGGCCACAGCCACTAACATACCATCCGCAGCTGGTCAGGTGCTCATAGCCCTGGGCATGAGAGAGGCATGTTGCCCTGGAACCTCCTGGAACCCGCAAGGGCCTTCCATGGTGAGGCATGGGGCTCAGTGTGATTGTATGTACACTTCCGGTGGCAAATATGTCATCTGCATGCTCTTGCTGGAACAGTCTGCCTGGGCCAATGCATCCTACAGTGGCCTCTGTGGCGGGGCTGGGGCTAAGAGGCGCTCTCCAACCTTGGCTGAGCCTCCTGTACTTGCTAACCAGCGCGTGGCGGCTACTGGACTCACAGAGAGGACTGTGGGGCCAGCTCGGATTTGATGTGGATTTTATTTTTGAAATTATATTTTTGCAAGTCAAAGTTGCTTCCGCTTTTTCGCCAGTCATAAAAGCCTGAAGTGTGGTCCTCCCAGGCCTGCTAAGGATGGGATGCAGTCCCAGCAACAGTTCTTAACCTCTCAGTGCCTACAATGTGTCCAAGTAGAGTCTGAAATGAGATGATTGATGTAGCTCAAAAGTCCAGATCTGGCTATTTAAGTGCGACCGGGCTCTCAACGTTCCTTCTTCCCGTGCTCGGCTACCTCTACGTGCTGTTGCCATGTTTCTCCCACCGTCCTCTTTGAAGCCACCCACATAGATGCTTTGGTGAGCAATGCGGACTTTCCCAAAGATTTGATAGAGAGCTCCACATCACACACCCTGCAGCGACCAGCAGAAAAATCCCCAGGGTCCTCCCATCAAGAAGTCAGCAGGGGGCCTTTTTCCTCCCTCCCGGGAGACATAGATCCTGCTTTCAGGTCCCTGACACTCCGTTCTGGTTAGTTTATGCTCCTTTTTCCTCCAATATGCAGGGCAGTCATGCTAAGCTAAGAGTGTACCTCATTAACCAGACATCATTAGAAGGGGGCACTACTGGTGGAGGTAGATTACAGAGAATTTTTGTCTTTTCTATCCCTCTGGAATATTTGCAGGCTCTACAACAAAAGGCAGTATTAAGGGTGGTCCCCAGGCCTTGTTTTTTCCCTCCCCTCCTTGCAGAAGTGTCGCTTGAGTCTTGCTCTGCCTGGTCTTGTAGATAAGTGAGGATGGGGGCTAGTCCTGCCCCCAGGGGCCTAGTCCCCCATGAGCTTGGTTCAGCCAGCAGCAAAAGCCAGAGGGTCTTGAGAATTCTGTTGCAGCTTTCAGCGGCTCTCCCCTAGCTACCATAGGGTTTCATCATGGGGAAATCGGGGAAGAAGGCCCAAGAAGAGGCTGCTTCCCTGCACAGACCCTATGTCCCTGTCAGCCCCTCCCTCTGGGGTCTCAGGCCCTGCAGTGGAGGCTTGGGCTACTCAGCAAGCCTCTGGCCAGGACCGGAGGGGGTCCTCTCCCTTTTCCAACTTTAATTTCTGGAGGGTTGTCCTCGTGGGCAGAGCCTCCCATGTCACTGAATCCCAAGCAGCCCATGAGCCCAGGAGTGGGAGTGCAATGGACACAGAAGTTCAGTTCTACCTGTGATTAAAGCCTACAGGAGTGTCTGCGGCCACTGGTCATGTCTGGGGCCCCAAGCTCACCCGAGTAGCCATCTGAGCAGAAGGCAGCATGTTTGTCCCACCCTGGGTCCAGGCTGGTCTGGGATCTTGCACTCCAGGGGTCTGAGCCACACTCCTGTCTGCCCCATGCCCAAGAAGCTGCACTGCAGACCCTGCTGGCCCATCTTGTTGGCTGAGAGCAGTCACCACCTTCTTCACTTTCTCCTCCCAAATTAGCATCACTCCCAGTGAGGATTCTAAGGGGCTCTCACAAAGGCTGAGATTCCACAGAGAGGCTTCCAAGTATCTCACTCCAGCAGAGCCTGAGTTTCCAAGCCTGTGCACGGTGACAGCCTATGCAGTCTCCTACCCGTGCAAAGGTGCTTTTTCCTTCCTGTGCTGCTTGGAAGAGAGTTGGTGGGAATGCTGAGTGAGTAGTGTAAGGTACCAGGCAGGTGCACCAGTGATCTTGAGGGCAGGTGCAAGTCCGCATGTCGGGCAGACCTTGCAAACTCCCCCCTCACCTGTGTCACTGCCCCCACAGAGTCCCAGTGCAGTTCATAGTCCTCCCCTCCTCTCGAGTCCTGGCTCCCAGTGGTGTCTCTGGTGCTGGAAGCACGTAGCTTCCTGCTGAGGCTACAGTGCCCCCCTGCTAGCCAGCCCAAGGCAGAGTCTCATCTCCAGGGTTCCTATCTTTACAGGTGAGGTGGGGGGATGGCCTGGACAGCCCAGGCATCAGCTGTGGGCTTGGCTGCCCTCCCAGGAAAGACCCCCACACCGTAGGAAGCTGTCCAGGCTGGCCTGGACATCAGCCTCCTGCCTGTTCCCATACGGAAGCTACTCTAATAGGTGGAGGTGATGCTGTGGCTCCCCAGCTTCTGTCTGAGGTAGCCGAGTGCGAATCATGCCTCCGTCCCCAAAGCTGAGCCTCTAATCTCACAGAGGTCCCCGCAGGCAGCTTCCTTTGACATCAGGAAGGCATTCCAGGGCCCTGATGGCTCAGAAGGTTGGTCCCTATTGGGCAGCCACGATGGGGGAGGGGGTGGGGCAAGCCTGGCTCTGTCCTAGGCAGGGCTCGAACCGGCGAGGCTTGGGTGGAACCAGCCTGGAGGCTCCCAGTGCCTAACCCAGATGTCGCCTGCCCGCCTGTGGCAGCTGCCAAGTGCAGTTTCTGTGCTTCTCTGATGCCCACCTGGCTAAAGAACTCCACGTCTCTCCTCCTTCCCAAGCGTTAAGGAACAATGCTGGTTTTAGTGAAGAATTCCCAGAGGAGTTGAAGGTGACGGCTGCATCACTCACCCCTCCTCAAACAGTGGAAGAATCCTTCCAAACCCCATCTCCATCGTGCAGCCACCAGGGCTCGCCACTTCCGCCCCTGCCCTCCCACAGCCTTGCCCTGTGCTACCAGGACCCTCCCTCAAATGGGACCTGTAAGGAGGCAGTAACAAACATTGTCACCTGCCGTCTATGGATTTTCAGTCCCCGGTTTTCTGCTACCCTAGCGAGTTTGGAAACCGCAACGGGAGAGCCCAGGACAGCCCAGGGTGTCACCACCTGGGCAGCCCTCCCAGGGGCCCGGGACTGTCTTCCTTTCCCGTGCTCCCCTCCTGCCCCCCGCTTTCAGTGCCAGCCTCTCCTTGCTCTTGTCTTTGGCTAGCTGAGAATTTATAAACAGCTCCAAGCAGAGCAGGCTCATGAGACTCGCCAACTTTCCAGGACTGTCCCTGACTCTGTCACTGAGCACTGATGACAAGCTGTCACCCAGCCACCATGGTCTTGCTAGAGTTGATGATTTATAGGCAAACTGGCTGTGTCTGATTTTGTGCCCCTGTCCTAGCTGGTCTCTAGGGGTGATCACGACTGTTTGTAGCACTATCAGCAGGCTGCGTGTGCCCTGCCACGGGGCCTTTGCTTATGCCGTCTTCACCCCTTCACCCCGACCTCAGAGAGGCAGGTGCGACAAAGGAAGAAGCCTCCTGGCACTTAGATTGTGGTTCTGCCACTGAGTTTCTGTGTGGATTTAGGCCATTCATGGGATGTCTGTGGGCCTCAGTTTCCTCTTGGTATAAGGAAAGTTTGGGCTAGACCAGTGGTTTTCAAATATGTTATCAGTGGGCCCCTTTTGTCAAACAGTCCTACACAGAGACCCAATATGCAGGACTCGAGGGCTAGTGTGCAAGGTGGCCAGGTAATGCAGATGTGGGAAAGTCTGGGGACACGGGAAGCGGTCCCTGCCGACTGTTACTATACAGAAATGTAAGACCAGTACTGCCCCATCTTCCAATCTTTGAAGACCTAAAGTTGATCTTCCTGATTTTTATATTCTGGCAATTCATTTTCTCAACTAAACTTTTTATTTTGAGATCATTGCAAATTCATGTGCAGTTGTAAGAAATAGCACAGATCCCATGAACCCTTTACTGAGTTTCCCTCAGCGGTAGCATCTTGTGACACTATAGCACAATATCACAAGGATGTTGACATTGATATGGTCAAGACACAGAGCGTGCCGTCCCCACAGGTACCTGCCATGTTGCCTTTTTATAGCCACACCTCCTTCCCTCTGGTGCCCACCTCCTCCTTAACCTCCAGCGACCACCAACCTGTTATCTGTTCTCCATGTCTATAGTTTCGTCATTTTCAAGAATGTTATATATATAAAATCATACAGCATGTGACCATCGTAGGATAGGCTTTTTTCAATCAGCATAATTCCCTGGGGATTCATCCGATAGTTCACTCATTCCTTTGTATTGCTGAGTAGCATCCCAGGATATAAATACAGCAATTAATTTTTAAATCAAGTTTTAAACACTGTACAGATTAAACACACTGCATTTGTGGCTAGATGTGGCCCCTGGGCCACCAGTTGGCACCTCCAGTCTGGAGGATGTTAGAGGCCCTTCCAGCCTGGAGGGCCTAGGAT